GCCCAACGTGTCCAGGATAAAAATGAAAGGATTATAGAGGTATTGAAAATCAATTTGCTTTGCCCCCAATTCTTACAAAACAAATAGAGAAACAAACAAAACATACCCCGCCCCCCTCCCACCACCACATGGCCCTTCCACTTTCCGATTGGGCTATAACCAGAAGACTGTAAACTCTCTACTCGCCACACCACATAGAGTGTGAGCGGGAAACACAATAAAGGTTTTTACGAAATTCTATGTAAAACAAGAAGCACTCAAACGCTTCTATATAATAAACAAGAAGCACTCAAACGCTTCTATGTATAAAACAAGAAGCACTCAAACGCTTCTATGTATAAAACAAGAAGCACTCAAACGCTTCTATGTATAAAACAAGAAGCACTCAAACGCTTCTATATAATAAACAAGAAGCACTCAAACGCTTCTATGTATAAAACAAGAAGCACTCAAACGCTTCTATGTATAAAACAAGAAGCACTCAAACGCTTCTATATAATAAACAAGAAGCACTCAAACTCTTCTATATAATAAACAAGAAGCACTCAAACTCTTCTATATAATAAACAAGAAGCACTCAAACGCTTCTATGTATAAAACAAGAAGCACTCAAACTCTTCTATATAATAAACAAGAAGCACTCAAACTCTTCTACGTAAAACACGAATCACTCAAACTCTTCTATGTAAAACAAGAAGCACTCACTCAAACTCTTCTATGTAAAACAAGAAGCACTCACTCAAACTCTTCTATGTAAAACAAGAAGCACTCACTCAAACTCTTCTATGTAAAACAAGAAGCACTCACTCAAACTCTTCTATGTAAAACAAGAAGCACTCACTCAAACTCTTCTATGTAAAACAAGAAGCACTCACTCAAACTCTTCTATGTAAAACAAGAAGCACTCACTCAAACGCTTCTATATAATAAACAAGAAGCACTCACTCAAACGCTTCTATAATAAACAAGAAGCACTCACTCAAACGCTTCTATATAATAAACAAGAAGCACTCAAACGCTTCTATATAATAAACAAGAAGCACTCACTCAAACGCTTCTATATAATAAACAAGAAGCACTCACTCAAACGCTTCTATATAATAAACAAGAAGCACTCACTCCAACGCTTCTATATAATAAACAAGAAGCACTCACTCCAACGCTTCTATATAATAAACAAGAAGCACTCACTCCAACGCTTCTATATAATAAACAAAAAGCACTCACTCAAACTCTTCTAAAACAAAGAGTCTTCGAAAAAAAATGGGCCAAACCATAGCAAAACAAATGAAAACAAAACAAAAACCTAAAAAAAGAAAAAACAAACAAACAAACAAACACACAAGAAGGGCATTGATGACGGGAGGGGCTTCTGCAGGGTCAGCTCACACACACACGAAAGGGGAAAACCCCCAACAAAACAACAACACCACCCCCCCCCCCCCAAAAAAACAAACAAACAACCCACAACAAAACAAAACAACAACCCAACAAAACAAAAACAAAACAAAAACAAAGCAAAAACAAAGCAAAAACCCCCGGTTGAGCAAACGGCTTAAAAAGTACCTTATAAATGAACAATAGTTCAAGTGCTTCTTGATAAATATCATGCACATATACATTAAATGTAATTTCTTCTTCTTAAAAATTTCTTCCTTCTTCTTCTTCTTCTTCTTCTTCTTCTTCTTCTTCTTCTTCTTCTTCTTCTTTTCTTCTTCTTCTCCTCGTCCTCCTCCTCCCCCCCCTCCTCCTCCTCCTTCTTTGTTTTAAAAGCCACTGTTGGTTGGGATTGGTGATGATGGAACAGAAGGTAACAGAACAAAAAAGGGATGGGGCAGGTAACTAGAACATGGCGTACAAATGTACTCGTACCTAGAAAGAAAAGCTAATTGACTGAGTACTGGGGCTTGTGCAGAAAAAAAGCGTAGCAAAGCTAGCTATATCGGATCGCTCAAAACATCCATCAATACCAGTAGCAATTAATAATGCATTCTGAATAACAAAGAGTACACTGTAAGCGGACATTACAACAAACAACTGTTATGAATTATTTCATGACGGCTTATTGGTTCTACTGCCTGAAACGTTTCAACTGTCGGGATAATAATAATAATAATAATAATAATAATAATAATAATAATAATAATAATAATAATAATAATAAATATAATACTATCATCGTTGCTGCCAGCAATCCACTTCAGTCTAAATTTGGAGAATTTTCAATTTTTTACAACATCACACAGCTTTATCAAAGATGCACCTTTCAACATCACCAAACCACAGTTCGGCGGTATGGTCAAGACTTACAATTTTCTTGCTTTTCATGATTCGTGGTAGTAAAAATATAAGTTACAACAATGAGTCATTTGCCTCTGGTGCAAAAAGTATCCAAGCAGACTTAAATCTTACGCGGATTGGTTGCGACACCTACCATAATTAATAAATGAACCGAAGTCTCATCGCGCAATACAACAAGGGAAATAACCGTGAAATAAAACTCAGGATGTCGAGTAAAAGGAAACAAAAGTAATTGTTATTTCCCTTTACTAACCTCTTTCAACCACCTTGGCGTTTAAAAAGTGGATTATGAATATAATTTATCATAACAGGCATTGTGGAACATGTATTTTCATAACTTTGGCTGTACAATAGACATCTATTTTCTATCCG